CAGAGTTAAGATTATACTTGGTTCTAGTTTTTTTCTGATAGTTGTTATTATGTCAGAGGGCTTTATGCTAGTGTTTTGAGGTTCAACACACATGATTTTCATTGACTTTTTTCACCCTGCTCTTTGATTGAAACTTTTACCTCTATATGCTCTGTCCCCAAATTTATATTCTTTGATTGCAAGCTTTACCTCTATATTCTGTTTTCTCTGGTTCCCATATTTATAGCTTTAGTCTCTCTGCTTTTTGTCGAATTGTGTGAATAGATCTGTTAATTCCTTGGAGTTGAGTAATATGGTTCCTCTTACCTTTTAATGGACGGATCGGCTTTCTCTGTCCTTGAGATTTCTGAAGAATTAAGCAATTTTTCCCATGTGTTTGCCAATTATCAGTTAAATCATCAAATAAATAACGATTGAAACATCGAAAGCTTGGAAATCGGGCACATGGGTTATGGTTTCTGCACTGAAAAACGAAACACAACCTATCGGGTTTGAATCCCACCACTAATCTTCCAAAGAAAAGAAAAAAGAAAATAAAACATAGAAAGCTTCAGTGAAAATCCCCCTCTCTCTCTCTCTCTCACTCTGGTTTCAAGTCTTAATCCCGGATTGTAGTGATGATCTTTCAAAGAGTAGAAGGCCTGATTATCAATTACTTGGTTTCAGGCGCTCGATCCATGGTTAATTTTGAAGAAATCAATGCAAATTCAACAGAGGAGGACTTTGATGAATGCTTTCACCAACCCGAGAAGAAGAGGCGATTAAGCCCAGACCAGGTTCAATTTCTCGAGAAAAATTTTGAGGTTGAGAATAAGCTTGAACCCGAGAGAAAGATTCAGCTCGCAAGGGAGTTAGGATTACAACCAAGGCAGGTTGCTATATGGTTCCAAAACAGACGAGCTAGGTGGAAGACCAAGCAACTCGAGAAGGACTATGGTGTCCTTAAATCGAGCTATGATGCTCTCAAGGCTGATTACGAGAACCTCCTCAAAGAGAAGGAGAAGCTCAAAACAGAGGTAACTTTGATTTTGATCTCTCTCTCTCTCACACACACACATGCGCGACTGCATGCGCATGTGTGTACGTCTTTCTCTCCCTCACACCACAACTGCTATATGCACCCAGTGCCCAAATACAAGAGTTTGAAGGGGATAATAGTATATTTACGAGTTTCACAGAAAATCGTATTACTTTTCAAACATGGATAATAATAATGTTTTTATGATTCAGTCTAGCTTTTCTCGAGAAACACTGGTGAAAATTTTCTATTTCAAAGAAAACCCAATTAAGTTTCAATCTAATTCACTGAAACAACACCAATTGTGGGTGAAGAAAACAAGGAAAATTGTTTACCATTGTTCTTATCCATGATCTCTCTATTTCCTCAACAGGTTGTTTTGCTCACTGATAAACTTCTCAGCAAAGAACGAGATTGCCAAGTTCCAGCAACAAACTGGCCGGAAAAACTCGAATTGAAATGCCAAACCACCCCAAAAACCGAAACAGTTAAGGATTCAGACCTGTTGCTCAATTGCAAGCAAGAAGATCTCAGCTCAAACAGCTCAGTGTTTGATGCTGAGAGCCCAACTGAGGCAGGAAATTCGCCCGAATTCTTCGCTGGGAACTCCCCAGAAATTTTTGAGCCTGATAATTACTCAGATTCTTCTTTAGGCGAGGAAGAAAGTGGCAAAGTTTGTAAAGAGAGATTCAAATCGCCTCAGGCTTTCGTTCTACCCAAGCTTGAGGAACCCACCTATCCCGATCAGGCTTCGGGTACTTGTAATTATGGATTCCATGTAGATGACCAAGAGCCTCTCTGGTTCTGGCCTTATTGAGGGAGAGCTCTGTGTTCATGTTCCTGTATTTCCTTTTTCGTTTTTTTTTCGAGCTAATGCGAGAAAATAAGCATCATGCTTTGAGATTTTCAGCAAGTGAGAAACATTAGGCTTTTCCATTTTTCATGCACTACTTGGTCCCTTAGCCTGTGTGTGTCAATGTATGATAGTGTGTGTTATGACTTCTGAGAAAAGGGCGAGAAAAGGGAGAGGGGAGGGTCTAAATTTTTTTAAATTTACTATCGAGAGAGAGAGAGAGAGAAGCGGGAAATTTAAATTAAGGAATAAGTCTCTTAAAGATGGATGTGAAGGGGTAGTCCTTCAAGAAAAGAATAAAAACCAATGGCCACAATTTTGTTTTTTTTGCAAAATGTCATTTTTAGCTTTTAAAATGTATTTATTTCTACATATTAGTGATCTCCTTGCTAGAGATTAGTGTATTTCTAAAAAAGTTTTAAGTCTAAAATCTCTCTAAAAGATGGATCATAAAGGGCATATGGATCATGAAGAGGGAACACATCTATAGAGGAGTCCTAGACCCATACAAACCTTGTCCTTAATTTAGTGGCGATGGTTTCCCAAGGAAGGTTCATCTATGTGAGATTGGAATAGGGATAACGAGCACGCACGGTGAATGGGAGTTACCTAAAACATGGAGGTTATATATATATATATATATATATATATATATATATATATAGTAGTAAAGTTAAATAGATGTCTACTTATATAGTAGTATAGTACATATCGTCCCTACAAATACCATAACGGTAAAAAGTTA